CATTCTTGGAAATGTCTCTCTTGTTTTAGTGAGGCATTACTTCTTAGGGGAACACACATACACACACATATATATTTCTATTTCTTCTTTTGTGTTTAGTTAACTACCTATTATATTTATCCACTCATATTGGTTTAAAAATCATGTTTTACTCTTAAATATGATTATGATTAAATCAGCTGCATTCATGTATGCTGCATACCTCATGCAATAAGCCTTTAAAAGCGACAGTCATATTGGTATGGTGGAAATGCTAAGTTTTAATTACAAATTAAACTTTAATTTTTTCAGAAAATTAACTCAAGATACAATTCCAATTTTATTGTTTTAATCAAGTACCAATAATGACAATGGTATATTGGGATATGTTGATTAATCAGTTTAGTATTTGATAATAAGTTTATCAGCTATCAACATAATTGATATTGTCTAAATATTTAATATTGGTAGAAAAAAAGATGAATTTTTAACTAATCAATGATCATGTCACATTTCATACTATCCACAATATTTGATGATTTCTACATCTTTATGTCATATAATTTACTACTAGTGCTTAACCTTTGGCAACTCAGTATGTTTTCGTTCTGTAATTAGCTGGAGCAGTTCACTACAACATCACATTGTGCCAGAACTTAAATGGTTATAAACAGTAATTATAAATTTACGAAAGGTGAAGAAAATAATTCGTATCCTTCCAAATACATTATTTACATTCAGCAAAACTCATTCCAGTGACGATGCTTAACAGATTTAATGTCATTGCTACAGACTTGTTTTGTGTTTTCATAATTATTACATCTTTATTATATGACAAATCACCAACTTGTCAGGTCTGTGGGCTTGGCATGGTGATTTGTCAGGTCTGGCAGTTAACAAAATGAAGTGCAAGTAGGTTTTATATCTCTGTCCACATTGTAAGCTGCCTCAAAGGCTATCAATAAAGATATTAGTTAATGATAATAGTAATCAAAATTTTAAAAATAACTGTTCAATACCAGCTATTGCCAAATTATTAATTGGCAGTCAGCCAATTTAACACACATTTAGAGAGAGAGAGAGAGAAAGTTGCATTCCCAAGTTAATGGAAACTTTTAAATACGGCAACACATTAACAGCAGAGGAATCTGAATGTAAAGTGCAATTGTATTCATTTTGATTAGTTATTTTTCAGAGCTTTAAAATATATTTTCAGGCCCCATCAGTTTAGCCCTGTATATGTCTGACTCCGAAGTTCAGCAGTTTCTAAGTTATACCTTAAGTTCAGAAATTCTTCAGAGCCGGAAAAATGTTGGTTATCATATTGTGTACCGAGAAGGGGTAAGTAGTTTTTTATTTTTCACCTTTAGTGGTTTATTGAAGTTTTGTTCTTCATATTTCGTGTTTAAAAATATAAGTACTGATTATCATATTGCATAATAAAAATAGCAAGAATATATATATATTTATTTATTTTAAAGAATGGCTCAAAATGTTTGTCCTCTTTTTTTTCTTCATAGAGTAAAAATGTTTTTTTTTTTTAAAGTATAAATTTTGAATGTCATGTTTTGTATAATAAACATCAAAGTTGTGAATGATATAGGAATCTTGAAGGTTATATTTAACTTAACTGCAAGAAATTTTTGATATTTTAATTAACAAAGAACACTGAAAAATAGTGGTAAGTCAGTTTATATTAATATCTGTTTTGCATACTTTTTATATGAACTATATATTACTTTTTTATATTTCTAGATATGTTCTCTATTTCATAAATTGTCATTTTCAATGTTTACATCACATTAAAAATTTTTAATTTAATACTTTTATTTCTTGACGGTTTTCATATACTGTGTTTAAGCACTTCTCAATTTTTTCTGTTAAATGTTTACAAGAAACCTCTGATTAAACTACTTTCAAAACCTTGTTTAACACTTTCAATATGGGCTCGTTCAATTTGACCAACCATTTGACATTTTTGTACTCGTTTAAAGTCTTTATAAATTTAATACTTATAACTCTCAATATAGTCGGTATACCTTCATGAAATTTGGCAGTCTTTCAGTTAATATTACAAGTCTTTCACGTACAAAAACTCTTATATATATCTTAGTCAAGTATTTTTAATAAAATAAAGATTTGTCAATGAATATATTGATTATTTGTTTTGAATAGTCTGTGTGCAAAGTAATGTTCATGGTTAAATTAAAAATACTTTTCCTCGTCTCAAAAATCTCAAATTTCCTTTGTGTAATCCCTAAACATTTTAGGTAACACAATTTTGTACTGTGATAAAAAAAAAAACAGGGACTATAATTTTGTTGCATGTACTTAAAATATTTTTTAATTTTTTGCCATTATACCTGAAAATTGGCCTAAATTGCAGTTGAATATGTGTAAAATTAGGTAGATTTTAGCAGAAAATATATTTAAAACAACTATTTCATATTGTGAAATTTAATTCTCACATGAAATATGTTTGTATCATGATTCTTACTCAAGTAATTTAACAGTTAATGTAATCTGTTTTTAAATTTTGAATGATGTACAGTTTTTCAGAACAAATTCCAGTGTGATTTTTAATTTATAAGAGGAGTTTTGTTTTTTCAGCCATTTTATCCAGTGAATCTTCTAAGAAATGTGGCCTTACAACAAGTGACGACACCTTTTCTTTTTCTTACTGATATTGACTTTTTACCTATGTACGGATTGTATGACTATTTGAAAAAGTCTGTCTCAGCACTGGGATTGGAGTCTTCTAAGAAAGTTAGTATTTTTTTTTATTATGTTTCGTCAATTGTTTCTCTAGGCACTTGCTGTAGAGAAGTTAACAATTTTTCTATTTTTACAGGCAATCTTGAATTTTGTTTCATTGATTAGGTTGCTACATTTTTTTACATATTGCATTGTTGAAGATAGACTGCAAAGAATGTATGCCTGGGTACAATTATCCATTTATTTCTTATATTTATCCTAAGTATTCTCTGTTTCCCTGATAAATTGTGTTTCCTGCATTATTTATAGTGTTAGAAAAATGATTTAACACCAGATTATAGACTATATCAAAGAATGTGTGTGTGTGTGTGTATACCAAAAGTAATCACGATATTATTTTACTATTTTCATTTCAAAATGTCTGTTAGCATTATCAGAGAAAAATTGCACAAAGTTGACAGTATATCTGAGGACTTAAAATGTCACTTCAGCTCCACTTGTGTATATCCTTTACAATTTCTTGTTTTATCCGAGTTATTTTGTTCACTCAGAATATATTCAGTAGAGAAGCATTCAGTGATTACATTAGAACGTTTGATAATAGAATTGGTTTGATCTCATTTGACATTTTACTGGATTGTGTTTTGTTATTAAAAACCTTGTAATTATGCAAATTTGTTTCTTGACAATCTTTGTCACAGAAAATTCATTATTTAATCCATAATTTAATATATTTTTTTACATAACGAAATCTGTAACTGAAAGACGAACAATTAAGTGTTTTTCTTGTCTTAAGATGATTTAAAGTTCATCTTTATCCTCCTGAAATCATTGAATTTTTTTTCTTTATTTTATTACCAAGCAATTTTGTTTATGTGTGTATATAATTACTGAAGTATTAGTGGAGAACCTAATAGTTATATAAATATGTGTTTCAACATTTGAATCTTTCGCCAGAAAATAGTTGACATCCACTACTGTGTTAATGATAATTGATCACCTACATGATGCAATTTAAAGTTTAATTAGCTTATGGTAGTAGGCTTAAATGGTGTTACTTGATAATCTCATTAGGCTCTTGTTGTTCCTGCATTTGAAACCCAACGATACCGGTTATCCTTTCCTAAGTCCAAAGCTGAACTTCTTTCCATGTTGGATATGGGTACATTGTTCACATTTAGGTATGTTGTTTATTCAACATTATTTTATTCCACTCAAATAAACACTTGTAGCTTCAAATGCAGAATTTTATGTGGTGTTTTTTTTTAGCGAATGAATAAGAATCATGTTTGTTTGTTTTTTACAACCTCATAGCCCAAAAAATACCTATTGCTCTTAGAAAGTACAGCTGTAAGTTGTTCTAGTTTAATCGTACCTAGATGCTTATGTAGTTTATATAGTTTATGGTAGGATATTATTATTATAATTCATTTATACTTGTTGTTGAAAACTTAGATATCATGTGTGGACTCGTGGACATAGTCCCACTAACTATGCCAAATGGAGAACAGCTACCACTCCATACAGAGTTTTGTGGGAACCTGATTTTGAACCGTATATTGTAGTTCGCCGAGATATTCCCGAGTATGATAGACGTTTTGTGGGGTTTGGATGGAACAAAGTGTCTCACATCATGGAACTTTATGCACAAGGGCAAGTATTCACGATTTGAGAACGTAACGACAGGTTTTTTGCTTATTTTAAAAAATACTTGTAATAAAACCTATGACCATTCAACAATTGGTTTGTTTGAGGTAAAGAAATTTGTTACTTTTATGTATTTCAGTGTAATTTTTTTTTATCTGTTACTTGTCTAACAAGTTAATCTTTCAGACCTTTAATTTGCTATAGTGTTTCATGGTTGTTAACAGTTTAAAAATTATTGATTATGTAAGAAAGATTATTATTCTGTATTTCATTGTAATGTGTTTGTATTACCTCTCTGATAGGTTAATATTTTTCAGGTTTCTGATTTCCTAAAGTATTTTAGTTATTGACAATCTATACTAAAGAAAAACATTAATTTTAATGTAGATTGCTTTGTAAGTAGAAAAATGTAGAACTAACTGAGGTGTATTAAAAATGTGTGTTTTCAATGCATTTTTTTTGCTATAAGTATAAATAAATACTATATGATAAATCTTTCAGAGTAAGAAACTGATCACCTGTGAAAAATCACTTAAGTTAATAAGGCACATAAACTAATAAATAAAATGTGATCTATTTTGCTTTTTCTCAGCTTATAGGATTTTGATGAGGGTTTAGTATTTATAGCTTCTAGTCTTAGCTCAAACCTTTGAAAGTCTGTTTTTTTGTCAGAAGGTATAAAGAAATGAGATACATGTTTTGGTTAATTATATTGTGATATAGCATCTTCCACGGAGTAGCAGAATAGGTTGAATTTTATACATTCGTTTACTGACATAATGTGTACCATGGGAGAGGGATTACAGGTGGAGTAATGTAATGCCATGGTAACAATGAAATATTTCCATTAGTAAAATAAGAGTGATCTTTTCTAATGTATTTGCTTGTTTTTTTATTTTACTTTGTCACTAGGTTTATTAGTATTATATGTAACTTAAACTTTCATGAATGAGCTGTCGACTCCTCCTGTGTCTTAATGCTGTATTTTATTTCTTGCTTAATGTTTTTCCTATGTGAAATAGTACTGTTGAAAAATACTACATTTTGAAAGTCTGATTTAATGTTTTTAATTCAAAAACATAATTTATCCTTCAATATTATTAATAAATAAATACATTATTTCTTTTAAGTTAATTAAAAACATAATGTTTCATACTTTTATATACTACAACAAAATCCAAATCAAAGCAATTAATTTTTTTCCAAAACTTCATTCACCATAAAAGTGATTTAAGTCTAAGATATACATCTATATCTTTATGAAAATTATGCACAAAGTCTTATTAATAATTAGACAGTCTAAAAACCAGTTACTACTTTGTAATCTGAGGCTTATTTTGGTACAATGACAAGGACTATCTATTGAATAAGTTCCTTTTATTGTATTGGGAATACAAATACAAAGTATATTCATTATTAAATATCCTAGTAACTTTGAATAACACAGTTATGTTTTTTATTTAGAAATGCAACAGTTGGTTTAGAAGGACCTATAAAAAACAACAACAATAAAACATGGTATTAGAGGAGTTTTAGAAAACTTTAATGTTTGGTAAATAACATTTTTTTTGCATATTGTAATTTAATTCAAGTTATTGTTATTATGGTAAGTACTATTTGCAGTTCCTAGCCATAAGATGCCTGTGAACCAAACTTTATCAAGCATATAACATTTTAATGTCCTCCATAATGGAATTAGGAATCTCTTAGGTAAAAATAAGTTTTATTTGTTTTCTAGCCAAGAACTTGGTGAACCAAACTAATTTAGAAACAGTCTTTTGTTACATTGTTTTATTTCTTTGTTTTCCAGGTTTGAATTCATTGTGCTTCCTAATGCTTTCATTGTGCACATGCCACATGCCCCAAGTTTTGATATTGCCAAGTTTAGGTCAAGTTCTCAGTACAGAAAGTAAGTGTTAAAATTGAACTTCCTTCTGTTAATAATTCTTAATTCTTTCAAGCTGTATAGCATTATACTGCAGTTTCTCCATTTGCATTCAGACAAAATTAACCAATAAATATCGGTCTAAAACAATTTAGACATAACATAATCTATGAATAACAAGGATCCATTTGGTCCCTCAAAATTATCCTTGCCCACCAAACAAGGAAAAGTAAATCCTCCCTTTAATTTTCAATAAAGCATCAGTTTCTCTCTAAAACTCTTGCAAATTGATGACCTCAACTGCTGTTGATAAAAACTGATTCCATAAGTCATTTATCCCATTAGTCTGCTTTTTCAGAGTCTTACACTTGTGTCCTCTTGTTCTCATACCCATTGAATATAGCACTTAGAAATCAGAGGCATTTATCCAATTAGTCTCCAGGAAAATCTTGTAAATTTCAGCAAAATCACTTAAATTTATTTTATAAGAAAATATAATAATTTAATAAATCTTAACCCATCCCTGTAATATAACTTGTTTTCTGTGCTTAATCTGGGCAATGGTGCAACTGACTTTCAGTATAAAAGTTGATTTCCACTCAGAAAGCATACATTATTCTTGATTGGGAAAATTAATGTAAAGGGTAATTAATAATATTTTTAAAGTCTGAAAAACATGTTCTTTTTTTTTTTCATGATCTGGCAGTTAAAATATTTTCATTATGTTTTTACAAAATTTCAATGTTAAGCTACAAATCTTGTATTAAAAGTAAAATAAATGCAAGTAAAGCATGCAAATACTAGTTGTCACAAAAACATTAAATCAGTGTAAGAGAAACAGAAAGACAAATTTAGCTAGTGTATTGGCTAAATTACTTTCATTAGCATAATAGTGTTTACTTTAAGTCTAGTTTAGTGATGTTTGTTAAGTAGTTGATAGTTGTACACATATAATGTAGTACTTTTATACAGAAATGTATGTAATTAACATGTAACCAAAAGCTATCATTCAGTTAAGAATTTGAAAACACATGTTTAATTTAATGTGCTAATACACATATGAAGTATGTCATTTGTTATAAATGTATGGCAACTAAAATTTCTTAACCTTTTGTCTATAGGTGTTTGAAGATACTGAAACAGGAGTTTGTCAAGGATTTGTCAAAAAGATACAGTAAACAGTTCACCGTTGAGAAACGTAAATTGAAAAGGTAGCAATGCTGTGTTATAGTACAGGAAACATATTTATATGAGTCAATTCTGCGGGTCATCGGTGCTTAAATGTGGAAGTTCCTGGGTCTACCATGTGTTGGCCCTACTACATATTTCGTAAATGACTGTTGATTGTATACAAACATGGATTACTCCCCAAAACATTGACTTTTTAAAAACATGAGAGCACCTTTGTGTGTTTTCCAAGTAAGTGAGACTTACCAAATTCATCTGCCAAATGGTTTAATTACTCATCAGCTTTTGTGATTGTGGTTAATCGATCTTCTAAAGTTTCTGTCATGCCGACATCACCCTACGAAGTAGGCTCCGATTGAGCCTGTTTCGATTATACAAAGGAGGTTTCATGATGGTGCCCAGAAATGTTTTTCATAGTAAGTCTGACTAAAATCATGAAAGAAAAGTAAAACAAGAGACCAATAAGCATGTATAATGATCCTCATAACTTATATTACCCTAATGTAAAAAATAAATAAAAAGTTCTGAGAAGCTCCAAGTTCATAACTGTTGGATTTTACATCAGTTTTTAGATGCTAGGTATTATTATTATTGCCACTGTCAGTAAGAAAATAATCATCTACTTGTAGATCTTTGTTTGTCTATAATACTAGTTCTAGCTTCATTGTTGGCAGCTAAGTCTTACAAGTAGAAATGCATTTGAAGTTGAATCTTGTATCTTCAAGATACTGTTAAGAAAGAATTTCAAATCGAGAAATGTTTAAACTTGCACTTTTTTTATTGTAAAGACATTAAATGCACAACACACATTCAAGTTTGAAATCTTTGTTTGACCTTGTTTTAAGTAAAAAGCAGTTAATACTATCAGGTTTTTATTATCTAGTGGATGAATTATATAAAACATCTGTTAAAGACATATTTCTTCTTTATTTAAGTATTCGCATGTCTGAGTGTTAATTATTTAAGAAATTTATTACGTTTTCCAAAGAAACGTTGGATTGGACCATGATTAAAGAGACTGTGAAAATTCTTTTTTTTGCTGACATAGAAAGTTTGATTAGTTCTGTTGGGTTAATATAACCAAACATGACTAGAATTAACTGTAACAAGGCTCAACAACAAATGATTTAAATTTAATGCAGCTTTGTGGTTGTAGACAGAAGTTTGATGTTAGCATGCCTAATCTGAAAAGAATCTCATTGAAGGACCATTTGTTCTCGCCAAATAACCATGTGTTAACTGTTGGCAAACTCACTGTTTTGTTTACTCTGATTCTTATATTTTTGTGAATTATTTTATATTGCTGTCTTCTAAATGTTGTATGTAGACTAAAATATACAAAAAGGAAAATAATGTGGGAGGTAGAATCTATGCCATGAACAAATTGCCACATTTTTATTGTCATATATCTTCATAAGTTGTTAATGTATGTTTAAAAAAAATACTTTTATTCAAATCTGCCAATTTGGAAAATGTATGAGAGCTTTCCTTGAGATTTCTGTTAATTGTAAAGAATGTTTTAGTTATCGTGGCAGTATTATATGACTCTTAAAATCAAAACTTTTATTTACTTTGCACGTCTTTAAGAAATGTTGGAAGAAAATGACAATTTTTAAGTGTAATAGTTTTCTATTCATAAACTTAATTCCATAAACAATTACCTTATTAAAAACCACAAGAAAGCAAATATTCCAGAGATACCTAAATTGAACTGATATTATGAAATATATTAGCAGTATTGTGTGTAATTATTTTGTAGACATTTTTTACAATAACTGCTTTTTTATCTGTCGTGTCTGTTTTCAGTTCTCTCCTTTTGAAGATTATGAACTCCTGAAGTATAGTATTTTTTTAAAGTGTGCTATAGTGATTGTGTGTTAGCATATGGCAGTGAAAGATATGATTTAATGAGAGGTTGACTGATAGGAATTGTAAGTTAAAAATATGTTTTATTATTCTCTATTTTCTAGGTACACTAAATCTCAAAAGTTACTATTTCATTCTGATTTTTTTATTTTTCAGAATTTATTTTACAAAGTAGTCGTTTAAAGGTCACTGTAAAGGAAGATTTTTTTTTTGTAAGTGACTAATTCACATTGAAAGAGAAGCATTAAATATTATAAAGCAGTATATTTTATACTGTTGAATCAGGCCTGAAATTGTTTAATTAAATAAAACAGTATTGAGAAAAATGTACAAGTTAGCACACATACATATATCAATATATATATCTGTTTCAGATAAGGTTTACAACAGATATTTAAAAAATGCATGAAAATAAGCCTTACAACACACATTTTTTTACACCATTAGTGTTCAAATATAAAAGTTGAACTGGGAACTTTCTGGCTTTTAACAAAACTTTTATTATCATTAGGGACCTAAAATATATGGCTTTATCCTTTCATTTTTTATATAATCCAAGTAGTTAATATCTTACTGTAGTAAGTGTATGTCAATAATGAAAAAATAATACATTACTTGACCTTTTATAAAGCATAGACATTTTAGGCTTAACACGTTCACTGCCTTGTGTTTCAAGGCCAAATTTCTCTAGTGAAACGAGAGTTTGGGACACTGTGATTGCTCCTTGGTACCACTTGAATGCTTAATTTTATTTGTACTTAATAAATTATACGGCAACGAACGTGTTAAAATTTTTAATGGACTACTATTTCCTTATTTTCTCAGTGGGGCGACCATTCACTCTTATGTTGGAAAATGCCTGAATGTAGAGTCCAAACTGGCTTCCCACTCGGAGAAACAAGTTGGTGCAGACTGTCATTGATTTCAACGCTGAAACTGCGTTAAGTTTACGGATTTACAACGCTAAAATTAGGGGGGCGATTCCCCTTGGTGGATATAGTAGACAGTCCGATGTGGCTTTGCGATAAAAACAACAACAACATATTTTACACTGTTGTTCGTTATCAGTCACATTACATAAAATTGTTGTACATGCACTAGATCAACATCAATAACATAAGCCTGCGAATTTAAACTTCATAAAAGTTGTTTTGGTTTTAATAACAGATTTTCCATAATTCAGCTACGCAGATTTCGAAAATAATATTAATTTTTTTACTATCATGTAAGGATTTTTTTTACAAATCGGGAATAAGAAAAATCTTACTTGGATCAAATTATTATTTTGTTTACCGCAATGAACATTTTTTAATAATATGTTTGGGTTCTAGAACGATCGATAAGACTCACGTCGCGATTGGTCTAGAGAAATCTATAGCCAGTGGTTGTCAACATTTCGAGTATAACAAGATGTGGTCTGATTTCAATGGAAATTATTCACTTATGTAAAAGTACATATGACGTTTTGTGAAAATTCTATACGTGATGGAGAAAAATGTATATCATTTCCAGATTGAGCGTACGGGAATTACTGTAGAACATGTAAACATTTCAAGACAATAAAACCATCGCAGGCCTTTGTAATTTTTAATAATGAAGGTAATAGTAATACATTAGTGATGATTCTAGACGAAAGTGCATAATCTTACTTGCAGTAACATTGAAGATTAAAGTTTTTCATTTGTACACAAAATTTTATAATCTATCAACAAAGAACGGTATATACGCAATGACTAGTAGAACTCAAAAAGAACAAGAGGGAATCCTCAATAGCCACGGCCCTTTAATTTTTTTAGGTAGGATTAGAGCAAGTTAATCTATGAGAACATGGGCGTGGTCAAATAATCAATCAAAGGGGTTTGACCTCCTGAGTCCAAAACTGTCATTAGATCTCAAATCAGTCAATAGATGACGAAGCTATGAGCTCAAGTGTGTACTTGGAAAACTCTGAGCCATTCTATGAGCCGCTTTGCCACGGTTAAGATAAATGAGGAACGTGTGGTGCAGTACTAAAACAGGTAGTATGGACAGGGCTGGATTAGGAGGAAATTGCTATCGTTGGTACCAATGCTGGAGAGGATGAAGGCTCAGATGACAACATTTTGTTCCTGGGTCCCAGAGAGAAGTGAAATGTGAATCACTTCTCGGATAAGATATTGTTTTCCAGGCGAAAATACAGGTTTTCAAGCAGCAAAATGAATGTGTATAAAATGTCTTGTAAGTTCCATCAAAGGCAATATTGCCAGAAGGATCAGAATTTGACCATACACAAGTAATAAAAATAATTTTGTAAATGTAAAATGATGTAGGAATGGCAGTGCCAAAAAGAATGGAAACAAGAACATAAGGATGACACGGCTATATATACATACATCATCCCTACATGGCTTTCAATAGCAAAATTTAATATTACCCTCTAAAATGCACTAGTATAAAATGGTTAAAAGGTCAGCCAATTCAATCGACCTTTTAGCGAGAGTCTGTAGTAGTCAAAACGTGTTTTAACTCAACTGGGTTTTCTTTGTATACGTAAGTCCTAGGTTTTTAGTTATACTACACTGATACCCTGACATGACCATGATGTTATGATAAACAAACTGCATAGCCACAGTCAGTAATGTATATAACTGTAAACTGCAATAGTATTAAACTCAAGTATGCATTTTACAGTGTAACATTAAATTTTAATATTGAAAGTTGTGTAGGGATGATCTATGTATAGCTGTATCAATCCCTGTATTATTGTTGAATTATTTTTGGCACTGACATCCGTACATTATTTTACATTTATAAAATGTTTTATTACTTGTTTTGTGACGTTTTTTCCCCTGACTGAAAGTTAGTGTATTCTATGGATGTGTGTAATAAAATTGAATATTGTGTATTGTTTTTGTTTTTTTTACACCTTCACTTTATATATAACATAGGGGTTGGCTCCATAAAGAATAAAGATGAACAATTTGGTGGGTTGGTCACTTTTTGGTGTGGAATCTTAGCGATGGTTTCTTGGCTTTTTGGGTAGAGAAACAAATGAAAGTGAGTGGCAATCATCTTTTAAAGGAAAACTTTCTGTCATTGTTGATTTTTTTATTGTACATATTTGTATTATGCCTATTGAGTACCTTACATATATATATAGTCTACCAACTCTATGATAACATGAAGTCAGAATTAGAAGCTGTAGTATAAAAATGCTACATATCTTTATGTAGTATGTATTTCTTATCTGTAAAGTTATTGGCCTTCTGTATGGAGCAGGTATGTAGTCGAGATCAATATATTTCTTATGCAACCAACCTTATAATCTAAATAACATTTTTGAATGGAAATAGGAACACAACAATAATACTAAGTTTACGTTTTTGATTTTTCTTTCTGTAAACAACAAATTCAAAAAGTTGAACAGTTGAAAAAAAATATTATTTTCACTTTTTCCAGTTACAATATGACCATTTATGAATATACACACTGTAATACAAAGCCAAAGTTTTAATCTATTATTTTACATTGTTTTCTGTACAGAAAATTGTCTATTTCATATGGAAATGATATTGAAAAGCAGAATTTCATATCGGGGCTCCCGAGAATCATATCTCGTAAAGCCACCACCCAAAGTTCAGTATGTGTCACTGACTCTATATGCTGCAGCAAAGTTTAGGCCATTGAT